GGGATTATGAGGAGGCCATGATTTTACCCTAATCCAACCCAAAAAAGGTGTCAAATATTTGTCTGTACATCCAAACAGGTTGTAAACTCATGCTGTATCACAACATGGAAACAGTGAGGAAGAGATGGAGCGGTCATTTCAGAATCATGCTCTGCTAAGTGGCTCACACAGTATAGTTTGTAGTACTCAACTGATCACGCTGTACTTTGCTGTAGCCTCAGCTTTGTGAGCTCTAGCCTTGTAGAAACTCTGAAGCAGAGCCCAAAAAACAATGCAGCCCACAGTCAATTGAAAGCTCCTTTAAAATCTCAAGAACTCATTTAATTGTGGCCCTCATGGATCATATCTCAGTCTCCCCTGCTATGACATTTAGGTGTGTCTTAACATTTAACTTGGTACAGTCCTTGAGGGCACAGTGGGTCCAGCAAGGTTCATAGGCTTTATTATATCTCCAGCATCAAAATAACTAGGAAGGAGGTTAACCTGGTAAGGCTAAATCAAAACGTATTAATTAGGTAGTAAAAATCTAATTTAGAATGAAAACCTGTGAATTGTATGACTCTTCAGAACTACAGTATACTTCCAAGGTATTCATTCATACATGCTAACAGGATGATACTGTATGTGCATTTTTTTATTAATGTTTCCTTCCTGCTCTGTTAAATGCATACGTTATCTGATTCTAGGAACCGTTATCTGAATATTCCCGGATCATGATCCAACTCTGCTACTCCCTCACCCTTGTGTGCTAGTCTGAGCTACATTCTTAACTTCCTTGGTGCTCCTACTAGCAGTTTACGTATGGTGACCTTGTACGAAAGAATCTAATAAGTGACAGATTAATACCTACCCCGGTCGTTATTAGATATACTGTATATAGTTAGTTACAACGTTTATAATTCAAGTGAAGTCAAACAATTATACATTATCTTAATCAATCCACATGTTCAATATCACATTTTTCAAAAATAAAGATTGAACCAAAAAACCCAATCAAAAAGTCCCATCAATCACAGCATCAATTAGTTAACATGTAAACACCACAGCGATAGATACAGGTACTGTTGTGGGAAAACGTAAGAGCGCCAGTACGTTTGGAGATAGATGCCCTCTGAAGCACAGCTGGGTGAGCGTCACAATAGTTTTCTTTCAAATATTGTTATCCCTTGAGTTCGCAAAGTGTTTGTGTCATCATATTTTGTCGAAGGTGCACATAACTAGTAGCACGTACTTTGTAAACTTTGAATAGTCATGAACAATAACACCCGCAACATGAAACCTTTAGCTTGGGGTGTTTCGTCTTGGTAACCTCTCTAGCGTCATTAGCAACCTCGTCTAATCTTTTATACACCTGTAAATTCGCACACACACAAAAGTATTTCAATAAAATTGGTAAATTCTAAGACAGAAAGCTAGTCAGATCGAGCACTACTTTCCGAGCTGACTAAATTGTCGCTTGACACGCCGGTTTTATGTACAGTATTGTAACTGCGTCCTGCCCACGAACAGCGCACGTCTGGTGGAGTTTAATGCGGTAAGCGGTGAGGTCACAACGGTGTACCGAGGAGGAAAAGAAAACTTCAGGAAAGTGGGGCACAAACGTTGATCTTCGCTGCCGACAGGACAAATAAAACGTACATCTCCACCGGCCAAAAAGGAAAAAAGTTGACAAAGTCGAAGGTTCTCTTATATTCTCATTAACCCAAATGTATTACAGCAGACCTACGCTTGTCTCCAACTGGTAAGAATTAATTCAGTAGGGGTAGCTCTATAGGTACAGTAATTGCAGTATATTGAGTGTTGGTGCTTTTTTAAGTTTATAAACGCTAGGTTCTAATATTACCATAGCATGCTGTTGTAACATATTTGTGTAGTGTACAGACGATACTACTAATAAAACATTTAAACCCACTGTACACCCGTGAAACTTGTTTGATTATATCGGTGTAATATTGAAATTACCATTGATTGAGCTTTACATATATTATATATTGATTGAGGTCGATAAATATTTGCTTTTAATTTCATTTAAACATAGTTTATTATTCGGCTTTATTATTTCTTAAAAGGCACCAGAATCGAGAGGCTGAACCTAAAGACTATGACTTGACAGTCTGCTCTGAAGGAAAAAAAAATTTACTTCGATCTACTTACAAAAATCTCGGACGTTGTGGCAACACTGTAAGTACTATACTTCCAGCCAAATGTTAATTTTACTGTTAAATGTTCAGTACATTTGTTCTCCCTTTTACTTGATACGGATTGAGTAAGAACATGAGAAATGTCACAAACGAGAAGAGGCCATTCGGCGCATCCAGGAGATTCTTGAAAGACGGCGGCCAGGGTGTAGGCTTCACCATCGTGGCCTGGTAGCTTGTTACAGACACCCACAACCCTTTGGGTAAAGAAGTGGCACTAATAGAAATCAGTGCACTTCCACCTCGTTTCCACCTGTGTTCACTTGTTCTGCTGTTTGTTACAAAGAAATCCACTAGGTTGACATTTTTCAGCTCTGTTCAAGACTAAAATGGTCCTGTTCTTTCAAGTGTAGGACATTCCCGTTAGTCTGGAATGCCTCTGGGTGCTCTTCTCTGCTCTGATCCCAGAGCAGCAATATCCTGATTGTACTGTGGCGACCAAAACTGTTACACAGTACAATTGACATGTGCTATCCGTGATGTAGGCTACTGTACTCCAATATACTGTATAAGATATCCAACAAGACAAGAAACGTCATTGTTTCTTCCTCTTCGGAAGCACCCTTTTCATTTTCAGGAATGCACATCACTGAAGCCATCTCTGCTTTTAGAATTCAACACTGTATAAAATCACATAGAAATATTTCAGAATGTATTTAATGAGGAGACCTAACAATCAGTAATCATACCCTAAAATAAAAACTGCTGCATAGAACAAGGCAAAAATGCCTTTAAAATTTAAGACATTGGAACTGAGAACACAGTCAGCTGCTTTGAAATGCTAACTACAGTATATACACGTTAGGCTATTGTACTTTTGTCCTTAGATATATTGTACTTTTGTGCATTTTTATCTTCCTACTGCTTTGTATGTGTCTCTTCTCAATTGGCACCTGCTGGCCTTGTCAACTACAGTCATATCAGATTTTCTTCTGAGCTATCTGTGGACCTTGAACCAAACTGAGAAAGTGGCCCTACACTTCAGCTGCGAGTCAGAGAAGAGAAATACACACCTTGGGACCTATAAGATGCTCACGTCTCTGTTTCTGTGTGCTCAGAGGTGCTCTCAAAGAGCCCGGATCTTGTATCAGAAACAAGAATATTCATGGCAGAGCCACCGCTCATTGAAAACAAGTCAGCCATGACTACAGCCTCAAACAGTGCTGGAAAAAGGCCTGTAGACATAGTGGCAGCAGGATGTCTTCATTATGTTTTCTCCATAGAAAGACACAACCTTTACATGACAGCATCTTCAACCCTGAGCTCCTGTTGTCATTATAAATTACAGAGTTAGTTACTTGGTTAGTTAAGTAATGTGTTTGATTAAATGTACTCCAGAGCTTGACAGCTGAAGGGTATTGTCATTGTTGTTCCAGATTATCTCTAAATTATTTATTACAAAATTAGTCACAGTTAAATGTTCCTAGCAATTGGTGATGTAGAGGTTCCATATTAATAATTAGGAATTCCTTACACTTATATACTGTAGCACTTTTCTGGACACTCCACTCAAAGCTCTTTACAGGTAATGGGGGCTCTCCACCTCCACCAATGTGCAGCCCCACCTGGGTGATGTGACGGCAGCCATAGTGCGCCAGAACGCTCACCACACATCAGCTATCAGTGGGGAGGAGAGCAGAGGGATGAAGCCAGTTCATACAGTAGATGGGGATTCTTAGGTGGCCATGATTGGTAAAGGCCAATGGGTATTTTGGCCAAGGTGCCGGGGTAACATCCCTACTCTTTTCATGAAACGCTCAGGGATTAGATTTATTAGACATGCTGGATTGGGTGTCTTCAGGACTAGTGCCGGAGAATCCCTGCTAGAAGGCTGACTCGTGAGCAAAACCAACCAGTACAAGTTTGTTGTCATAGCTACTCAGGGTACATAGCAAGAATTCTATTCCCAAATCACACTCTTTTTCACTGTGCTTGCTCTTTCCGTGATGTCTAATCCACTTGTTTTCATTACTGGGATTTTACACACTGGAATGATGGTACTAGTAACCTCATATGTATAAATGTGTGTGTTTGACGTTACACTTGAAATAAGTTCATTATAGTCGGCTACAGTCATGTTTTGGATGCGAGGTTCTTTTATGTTTACTTCTCTCTTTTTTTTAAGATGCTCTGTGTATCCTCATTATTTTGACTGATGTTGGGTGAATATAAAGTCTATTCTGGACCTTGTTAGTTTTAGTTAATCTAGTCATCTGTTAAAAATATGATTCTCATAAATACTGTTTACTGAGCTGTGGGTTTCTAGGTACAATTCTAAATTTGATTTTTGTCTGTTTCTGCAGTGAAACTTTTTCCAACTGTTGAAAAATAAAGAACATGTCTGTGCACTTTTTCAAGGGATTGAGCTTTTTGTAGCACATCACATGTGCTAATTAGAAAAGAAGATTTTTAACTCAATACACTGAATCTTTCTGAAGTTTTGGTATGCCGAAGAAGTATTGGAGGAGTAAATGGTTCATTTATCTTAATAATTGTAGAAAAGTAATATTCCAAACATTGGGTATTCTGAACAAGTAATAATAAAGTATGCAAATATAATTATTGTGAATGGCATATACTGTATAATCACAAGTGTCGGGAATATATATAATTTTATATACTTGTCTGATAGTGAATAAACTTTACTAATGTGTGCCATCAATCATTTCAGGACTGGAGCACCACAACGGAAGGACAGCTGTCTCAATGCCATTTAAAGAAGGATTATGAGATAAGAGAGACTCCCAAACCACTTGTAAAGGCAGACAATTTTAATTCTGCATACTTCGAAAGGTAATACATACATTATCAGTGTTCTTGTTAGTGTCTTCATATTTGAATCTAGTACATTTACACAAGCTAGCCCTTGACTGTAATAAAGTAAAATACCAGGTGTGGTGTTAGGATTGAAAGTAAAACACATGAAAAGCTTGTTCTCTCAATACATGTTAACAAAAGAAAAATGAATCTAGGCTATATCTGCAATGCAATAGAGCATATCATTTGTATATCATGGATTTAAATTGATCTTCAAAGATAGATGTGATAATGTTATTTAATTTAAAAAACACCTAAAACTTACATTAGACTCTATAAATGGATTTATTTCCATTGAGAACAGTGTTCTTTTAAATTTCAGCAGAATCTATAGTTCAAGACACTGCAGGTATGTCTGCAAGTACACAACCAGCTTTCAATAACTGACATGAGTATGAACATTACTGTATATGCTTATATTATTACTAACTACGAGTATGTCTTTCCAGGGAGACACGGAGACCTAAAACAGGTTTCAGTGAAGTTTTGCCACGTCACCAGGCTGGTCACAATAAGATGTAAGCACAGAGTATTCATACTTTCCTGAGAGACCTCAGGTCTCTCCTCATTCTTATAGATCAAGAATTTCGTACGTTAACAGCAGGAAAGCACAAACAATGCAGTCAGAGCTTTCTGCAGGAAAACTGATGAGCTCATGTTGTGTATTGATGCAGTTAACAACATTTCTGTTCCCTGTCAAAAAGAGGCTTGAGTGACTCATAGGTTTTGTGTTAAGGTATACTACCCTTGTCAGTTTTTCAGTACACTGCATAACTGGTTCCAGTCAAGCACCTTTCCCTCTAAATGGAAAACAGTAATTAGTTACATTTTTATGCAGATTTGCATTGTTTTTAAATGAGTATTTTCTCTTACAATTCTCTCAGTATTGCAGTAAAAGATGCCTGAGGAAGCATTGCTGTTTAGTACCATTTGGTGGAGCTGTGTAATTATTTAGTATTGTAAAGGTCCCTTGTTGAGCTGAAACACTATCTCTAGGCTTAAATTGCAGGAAATTAGTTTCTGAATGTGGCGCATTATATTTTAGCTACAGTATATCATCAATTGATACAGAAACAGCATATTGCAAACAGTGAGAAATTTGAACAGTGGGTATAAAAGTAACCATAATCACAAAAATGTGAATGATCTTCAAATAATCTTTTGAGTGTAAGGTTGAAGAAATGTATTTTATATTTCCATTTCTATGTGGGTTCATAAAATAAAGACCCTCAAAGCAAACATTAAAATTTGAAGTGATGGTGAAGCACCCTACATTTTCGTGTGTGCACCCTGATACAGTACATGCAGATCCTGTTGAGCTGAATAATTGTGCTTAAAATCTGCAAGCCCAGATGTCAGAGTGAAAAATGCAGGAAATGTATATTGTACAGATTTGGCCCATCTATCGTGAGACGATTGTCAGACTAGATCATCAACAGGCCCAGCCTTTCAATGTCCTGTGTTAGAGCGTAACTTGAGGTCTGCAGTCCAGGCAGATCCAGTGTGAGTCATTGGCTCTCTTGACTCTCTAGAGCTATGGCAGGTGTCATGTGGGTTTAAGCCGACTGTGCCTCACAAGAGCGATCCCTATGGCTCAGTCAGTGACGCCGAACTTGTGGTTGTTGTACTGTAGGTGAGGGCTGCTTCGCTCCTCCATTCGTTACTCACTCTCATGAAAACGGGCAGATGCCCATGATAAATGCTGCCTCATTTTCAGTCCACTCATGTTGGTGCAGACCTGAGGGTGGTGAGCTCATGTGATTACAGTTGGCTTTTTTTCAGATTGTGGAAGTGGTAAAAGCAAATCATTGCCAATTGTTATTTTTCTTCGAAAAAACTGGCAGTGCAGAGGAGCTGTCAATCAGCTAGCTTAATTCAAAGGGATCACGAAGGATTCTGCAAGAGCTGTCTGGATGTAGAGCTAGGAAAGGACACAAATAAAGTTATAGCACTGCAGGTCCTTTTCATTGCTACTTTTAGCAGTTTGTTTTATACAGGATCTTTAAAAAGGAAACTAACCAGGTTGCATAATGGATTGAACCACTGTGTGGAAAAAATGAGGACTTCCTAGGGTTGCTTAGTTAAAACCGTTTCCTGGCTAATGTGCCAAAGCAGTAAAAACTGTCTAGGCTCAGTTTAATCCAAAGAGTCAACACTGGAAGGTGGTACTTGCCAGTAACATAGGGTTTTTACTGCTAGTCTTTGAAAAGTGTCTGAAGGATACTCTGGCTAAAAGGTGGGTTATTACTGTACGTGTTCTAAAAGTTATTGTATCAAATGCAGTGCATTTATTCCGTGAGAAATTAAAGCCAAAACAAGAAAAAAGATATAATTAATTTCATTTCAGCATAAGGTGGAGAGAGCTATTAAAAATTGACGAAGAATGATTTTGTACGGCACCTACACCTGTGGTCCCAAAATGTTGTACATGGTCATGCTTGTGAGTAAGTAAGAAGTTCTAGAAAAACAGGGGAAAGGCTTGAGGTAGTACAGTTTCTAACATTTCCTCCTCTGTGTTTTAAGGAGAATCATTTTTATTATGACTGAGGCAACTTTTAAAGAAGAACTGCAACGCTGTTTGTACATTTCAGGGTTATAAAGAATCGGCAGTGATAAGTGCATTTTAAACCACGATGAAACTACCACGTACGCATTAATCTATACAACCTCCAATTTACATCACACAAGATGCTAATTTTCAATGTGTTTGTTGTGCCAAATTGCAGCCATTGGCTGCAATTAAGAACGAGGCATCAAAACTCTGTGATGCAAAAGCGGCCCAATTAGACTAAACGAACTTTGCTACTCTACTGATAGTGAATATTTTTATGAAACTGACATGTTTTTGAGATACTTTTAAGATTTACAATAAAGAGCAACCTGCCAGACAACTAAAATATGCTCATAATAATTAAAGTTGTTAGGAGTCCATGTTTCTCATTTGCTTACAGTGACTAGTGAGCAGGAAGGGCTGGTTTAAGTCACAATTCATGCTAACTCTCACTCTCGCCTGTGGTGAGACCAGCGGTTTGCAACAATATGGTAATCATACAGTTCCTTCACAATTTTCACAATTTCGCACTTGATTTGAAACTTGTAAAATGTTCCAGTACCATCAATTAATGTATTTTGTTACAGAGATTTAATAAACCCATCTGAGAAAGCGGGACTGCAGTTTCCCTTTAAATAAAATCACTTTTTTTAAACTAATTTTTGATCTATAAAAATTCTGATTATAATGTGATATTTATTTTAATATGATTATAATGCCCATATATATTGGATGAATCACATTGTAAATAATGACATTTAAGAGTACACAAGTCCTGTTGCTCTGAATGACATATAATCAAAATAGTTAACATACAAGACTGACAAAAATGGGGTAGAAAATGATGGAGAAGAATTTGAGTACAAATGAATAGATTGTTTATTGGAACTGAAGTTTTGCAATGAATCATCTTTCTTCCCAAACTATAAAAGCCTGGTCACAAAAAACAATGATGCATTTTTAAAAGTACAGCTGCTAATAATTGTTTTTTAACACATTGGATACCTGTAAAATTCAAAATGTTAAATTCTAGTAATATGCAATAGTATGGTGACATTTACTGTAAGTATTATTGTATGGCATGTTTGTGTCTCCAAATATTTACCCATTTACAATTGACATGTTTTATTTATAACATCTCTTTCAAGAAAATGTGTTTCTGGTCTTTGTTGGCCACAATAAAACAAGCATCAGTTATCTAAAAGTTGAGAAGGCTTCAGATTTCCATGTACAAAACTAACATGAGAAATGTATCTTTCAGAGATATGGACACTACGTATGCACTGGACTACCTCCCTCCATACAGCTACAGCACACAGTCTGTAAGTAAGGAATTAACAATCCCTGTTCAGATCATATCAACAATATACTTTATTAACATACCACTGCACATTCTGAATACTAACACCCCACTGATGTTTATTTGTATCTGAAAGAATGTGAGTTGAAGATGACAAGCTTTAATTCGAACGTTTCTTAACTGACCAAAATTCAGTCTAACTTGAAACATATTGTTTTAACTTGAAGGGTTTGTCTTTGGCCAGTGAATGTGGAATTAATTACTGGCCAAATAATTCATAAATGAAATATGAATGTGAAAGCCAGATTTTAATGATATCAGTGTGAGTTGTGAGCTTTACACTTAAAATGCATCGTGAAAACCAAATGTTTTAGCCTACTACTTTAAAAACAATGTGAAGCCCAGTTTTTATGTAATCATATATTTGTTAAATTAGGTTTTTTTTATTTTGGTAGGCAGAATAAATGAAAGGCTATTTGAAATAACTTTGAACATATGAGGTAGTGTATTATTATTTTTTGTTTAATGGTTTGTTTCCATTTTTTTCTCTTAACTATTACCATATGTTTAATATGATTTATAAGTCTGTCCACTGAAATAGCTGGAAGTACACAACTGGAAGAGAAATAACTTATTTTTGAGCCTTGAGGAGAACATAAGTTTCATTTTAGACTTTTTTCATTATGAACAGGAAATAAAAAATATGGAAAAACTGAATTTTATATTAAAAGATAATACATAAATTAAGACCATAGGAAAGCTTCCAAATGAGAGCTGGCCTTTTGGAAAGGGATCCAAAAATCTCATTCATCTGTTTCTAAAAGAATCTTTGACAACATGGCTGAGCAGCTTGTTCCATACTCCCACAACCCTTTGTGTAAACACCTGTCTGTTCTCATTTTTAAATGCGCTTCCCTGTAGTTTTCAGTTGAGTCTTGAGTCCCTGTTGATTCTGAAGACACTTGTAAGGCTACCTTTGTCAACAACTTTGAGGCTTTTGAAGACTTGAATCGTTCCCCTATAGTCTTCTCTTCTCAAGGATATAAAGGTTTACTCCTTTTAGCCTGTTAGTGATGGATATTTCCTCAAGGGAACATACCTGCTCTCTGTTCTCTGATGCTTCCAGAGCAGCCGCATTTTGTGTGCTGTTTGGTTTTGAGAAAACAGTGAGAGAGAAGATGAACAGGTGGAGAGGAGCTCGTGGTCTTCCAAGCAGGGACCACTGTCTAAGAGCCAGCATCTCAGAAGAGGTCTGACAGAGCAGACCTGAGCACAGTAAGGGGTATGCTGGTGGTGGTGGTGTATTCTCACAGTGGTGCTGAGAAGTGCAGAATTCTGTCATTCTCACAGACTACAGAGGCTCTCCTCTCTTGTGTAAAAACAAAAATAAACCAGTTGAGGGATGATGCAATTTGGACCACGGATAAACAATGTGTGATAAACGAGTGGTACAACATTTGAGTGAGAACATGCTTCATGAAATGAACAAAATTCTCAGGTGCTGTAAGTAATTCAAAAAAAAATAATTTGATCTTCATGTTTGTTTTGTATTACCAAGCAGGGCATGGGAATGAGATTGCATTATCATTAGAATAGTAACATTATTACTCCGATGTTCTTGGAAAGAGGGGGTCCGTAACCTGCATAATACCTTTGAAAACATGAAAAAAAAAGTTATATCATTAAAAAAACTGTATTTGTTTCAATACAGGACTTGTGGAATACAGGAATTTTGATCAATTGGAATGAAATATAGCAATTTACTGTAGATTTACTGTAGGTTACAGTAGTGTTTGAACTGGGGATCATTTCCTGTCTTGGGACCAGTTGTGCCAGAAGACAGCATGAACACAGCTGGGGATTCTAGGTCTTGATAGAGCATGGAACACCTGGCTGATGAAATATGTACCTGATACATAACCCCCCCAAAAAACAGTAGTAGTTCTGTTGGAATGAGAACCAGAAAACACAGGGGTACACAGGGGATCAGGTATGGAAAACACTGCTTACTTTTCTTTAGTATGAAGAACTGTAGGACAAACCTAGCAGTGAAATAAGTTAGCCTTCTATAGGGTGAGGAGCATGATGATTTGAGTTATGATAAAGAAAAATCCTAGCTGAGGTGTGATTTAGTTACGATTAACATGTTAGTGATTTCAGAGGAGTCCTTAATAATATCAATCATGGTTCATTCATTGCTCACATGGTACATTGCTTATTGTTGAGCTGTACCCTTGTTTTCAGATATTTATAGGACCCATGATAGCTAGGCAGCATACACCATATATAAAGTATGCACAAAACAAAAAATACAGTACCGTACTTGTACCTTAATAAAACATGAAACATTGTTAAAAAATGAATGCAATGCAGTAATGCCTTTGAACATGCAGAAAGACATTAAAAAGGACTTTGCTACAGATGTTAAAAAAGGACTTTGACAAAATAATGTTATGCTAAAAACTGTTAAAAAGTGAAAGCTGAAAAGTGAAAGCTCTCCAATTATAAATAAGGTAAAATGTGAAATGCTGAATGTAGAGGATACTGCTTCAGTGTTACAGGTATTAAAACTGTATGTTTGTGAACATGTGCATGCTTCTGTTCCAGTAAAAACAGGGCTTTCTTTGAACTCTCACATCACCATATGAGATGTGCTTGGAATGTCAATTGCCCAGGGCCATTATCAACAACACACTCTGTGAATGCTTAGTGTTGCACTCAAGCTCATCTGTTATTTTGCACATTTGGCCTTCAGTCACATGTACTGTGATACAACTGTGTGATACGAATGCATCATGTTAAGTTAAATTAAGACCTTTTCAGAAACAGCTGTTTAAAATGAAGTAGATGGAAATAGGATACTTGGGGACCTCCAACGTGGTTTTAGAAAAAATGTGGACACACTCACAGCATTTGATATGGTATATTTTGATTTTCACAAGGCATCAGATAAAGATTCATTCTCAAATAGCTGGCAATAGTCATTATAGGTAAAGTGTGTGTTTGGATTCTGAAACAGCTGAATATAAAGTGCAACAAAAAAGTTTGTAGATTCCACAGGTTAGTCTATATTCTAAGATAATTTAGCTGCATAAAATGCAATTACATATTTTATGTAAGTCTTATAAAAGATGAAAATAACCTGATTAAATGTATAACACAGAGAGATAACTCTTCAGAAGCATTAACTTCAGCTACGGTAGGCATTTCCCATCACTTTTTATCAGTCTCACATAAGCTTTTAGGAATTTTAGCCCATTCATTAATTTTTCTCCTTATTGAGCTGTGCCAAGTCAGTGACCTTTGAGGGTTTCCCTGTTTGAACAGCTCGCTTCAGGCCCTAACAGAGCATTTCAGTGGGGTTTAGGTCTGGTCTATGACTTGGCCGGTCCAGAATTTAAATTTCATCTGTGTCATGGGAGCCAGTTCTGACTCCCGTGTAGTGCTTAGTTAAAGACCCTGTCCTGGACGGTATAATCCGCAACAGTCTAGAGAAGGACATTAGGGGAAGATACAGCAGGGTCAGGATGGGTTGACAGAGAGGGGGAAGGCGACCAAGTCCAGAAGGGTCTAAAAAGGGGTTATCAGGGCGCAGTCCGTTGTCCATAGGCCGGGAGATCCATCTGGGACGAAGACGGTTAAAATCCCTGGGAAGGGGAACTGAAACTGGGAACACAAAGAACTAAAACCTTAATGGGACCAGGCGCTCCAAGCCCCGGACCCAGATGTTCAGGACTCCAGGGTGAAGCCTATGCCATCGGGTCACTCCTGAGCCCAGTAGATAGGCAGGCCTTCAGACGTCCGTCTTCCAGTGCTGAGCCAGGAACTGTGGAGACGCTAGACATTTAACCAAAATCCAAACAAGATACGCCAGGAAATAATAAAACCTAATCATAACAGAAAAGGGCAGGAGCGAATTATAATTAATTATAAATAAAGAGTGGGAAACACTTGGCAGAAGTCATTTGCAGGAAATTGAAAAATAACTACAAAGTGCTATGCAGGTAGTGGAAACATAAACTGTATATAAAATAGACAACATTGAGCCTGAATAAGCTTCTTATGAAAAACACTTTTATAAGTAAAGGTATGTTTTTTTTTCAGTTGTCTCAATGGATTGTTATTTTACACAGTCTAAGCTTGAGATTCTCATTATTTTCAATAATCTCCTTACATTTCTACCAAAAGTTTATATTGCTGTTTATAAACTTTTTTTATATCACACAATTTTTAATTTTTCATTTGTTTTGCTATAAAATCAATCTAAATAATGTGTAAAGTAAGCCACACACTTCCGTTTCAGAATAGTAAAGCATCTGCAGTTGAAAAGCTGTTAGTATCTAGGGGGCTCACCTAGTTTTCTGTTGTAATTGAAGGTCCTGAGCAGCTACAGTATGTTAATGCAAATTCATTGATGTGAATTTGTGAGGGGAGTCTTGCAGGATATTTTTAAGTACATTTACTTTGTACATAGTGAATTCTAAAAGATTTTATCAAGAGCTTAAAAGGAATAATTTATGACAACTTCATTCTGTGATGCTGTGATTAAGCACTGAAACTATTATTTTGTTTTTGTTTTCATATCTCCAAATTATTGGTACGTTCTGTTTAAGGCCTTTAAAAAGTCTGTTACGTATGAGGTTTTCATAGATATAATCATTGGGTATTTGCTTTGTTTCTCTGAGATTGAATGTGACCAGCATTAAATATATTTTGGCACTTTCAGCATTACAGACAATGTTCGACTCTTATTTCTGTTGGCAACTATTAGGCTGCATCCCTGAGCAGCAGTTTATGATTGAACATAGCAGGTCCACTCGTGTTCATGTTCTCTCCTTCAGTGACTTTCAGCGAGATGGTGGAAACTATGTAAACATGCATTTAAAACCAGGAAGAGGAGGCACTTCTTTAGCCAAAGGATTGTGGGAGTATGGAACAAGCTGCTGACCATATATTGTTGAGGCATTTTTCCTGAAACATCTGGATGGGATCTTTGGATCACATTAGCTATTCCCTAACAGGCTACATGGTCTGAGTGGCCTCCTCTCTTTTCTAACCTTTCTTATGTTCTTAGAAATGGGACTCTTCTTTAACGTGCGACAGACACATTTCTACATGCCTGTTTTTGTCTCTCCCAAAGTGTGTAGGAGACCAGGCTGAGTGCTCTGCTGCCTACAGGAGGTGCCAGTCCCAGTTCACTGACACAGCAGACTATCGCCGACAGGGCCGCAACACCTGGCAGGACGAAAGTGGGGTTTATGGCAACAGCCACATCAGGAGAAGGGTCTTTCCTCTGAGCCATCCCATAACTCCCCATATCTTATAACCTCCTCCAGTTCAGATTGCAGATTTAACCAAAATTATGGTTTCAGTGCTAGTTGAAGTTCTTTTAATTTTTGGAAAATTTTAACACTGAGATGAGAGCAACTATAAAGCATCTGTTGAAAATATCTGGTGTTTTTTTTAGTTTAATAAATGAAAATGAGCCTCCTGTTTGGAGTCAGGAAGCAGTCTCTAAAGTGGAGTATAGCTCAGTTTGAAATGAGGAATGATGAAGGAGGTGAGAGCAGCTCAAACGAAACCTCTTATCTGGTTTTCTGTGCTTTTCCCATCAATCACATTCTTCTCCCCTCTACACTAAAAGATTAGATTACAGTATATGTGAATGGTTTGGGTGGGTAGCTGCTTCAGCATGTGTAGGCTGCAAAGGAACAAGTAATAGGTTATTCCATGCTGCAAAAAACAAAAAAACAACCTGAAGAAGGCTCCTTGGCCGAAACATTGTGTTTTCTTTCTTCTTTTTTTCAGCATGGAATAACCTATTACTTGTTCCTTTGCAGTATATGTGAATGACACCTTTCAGATTTGTATGCTTAGAACTTTTCAGACTTTTCTGTTGCCTTCTGCCATGTGCTCTGGAGCAGTGAAATGTGATCATTACACAGTCAGTGACTTCCAAAATGATTAACTCGTTTCCACAGATGTCCCCATGTCCCCTGTCTTAACTATGTAGGAACCAGGGATCTGAGTGCATTAAAACCTGACATGCAAGAGGCTGTATTTTATTGAATTCTTACATATAAAAGATTCAATGAAATCTGCCCTTTTCTCTGTTATTACTTGAGTCTAGCAGTCTCCCCCAGACTACTCCCTAAAACTAACCACCGTGAAAGGGCTTTTGTAGAGTATATCTCACTAGCACTGAGAATGCAATTCATCCCTTCTTCAGTCATGTAATGTTTTGACTGACACCCAGTGAGCCTATTTTCAATAGAGGTGTTTTGGTGGCGTCTAGTGGCAGGCCCATTGTTACTGCAGTTTCCTGCCACATTCCCATTTGGTTGTTTTTTTTGCTACCTTTCTTAACCACTGCCTAAAGATTACAATACAAGGTTTTTCCACTCAGTTTATCTCTCCGGATTTATAGAATGCTTTTTTTAGCATTTATAAAAGCAGCAGGCAAAGTTCTATTCTGGCAGAGTTTTCCTGTAATCTTAAACACTATGCTTCATGCTGTCAGCCACAATGTGAAAAATGCCTTTTTTTTATTACACTAAGAAACACTGCACTTTTTAGCCAAAAGTAAATAGTTTCAACTACTACAGTAAATATTTACAACGTCTTATTTTGTTAGAGTTGGTAAGCTTATGGTCAAAACCATTTTTATGGAATGATTTTACATTCATATGACTCAGTTTATAAGTTGATATAATAGTGTTATTTAGAAGCGCATGTCAAGAAACTCAGAGCTCTGCATAACACAAAATAGAGTAGCAAAACAGAAACACAAAGAAAGCATAGGGAACAAATATTAAATTGACTTATTGAAATCCAAAAATTAGATTTAAGTTTTACATTAAAGGCTTTAGTAAAAAGCTAGGTCTTCAAGCATGTTCTGATAGTCCCTGGCTCTCAGATGAATTTGGACAGACATGGTGCTGCACACATGAAGGTTGTATTGCCCATTTGGTGAAGTCTGGTCGAGTAAGATGGACAGACTTTGCAGATTTAAGGTGATGAGTTGCACTGTACACATTCAGTATGAATTTTAAATATGGTAGAGCTAGGCCAGTCAAGAGATCCCCAGAGTCTACTTCAAATATTACAGGGAGTTTTACAGAGGACTGAGACCACATACTAATGCAGACTTTTAGTCAGCAGACAGGCCACTGAACTCTGACTTGTTCTGCCAGATTAGAAAGTCTGTTCAAGTTCCTTAGTTCCTCAGTAGGCAAGGTGTGTTACAGTTGTCTTACCGTGATTAAATAAAGGTATGTAACAATATTTCAGCGTCTGATGGGCAGAACAAAAGTTTTTTGTGCTGGTGGAAGGCATCCTTTTGTTCTAAAAGGGATCTGTACTCCAATGAGCGTACGGGACCAAATGTAACACTAAAGTTTCCAAACCATCAAAGGTTTGACGTCATCATCATCAACAATGGGCAGCACAATGGCCTATTGGTCAGCATTGCTGACTTGTTCTGAATCTGGGGTGCTAATCTGCACAATGTTTGTATGTTCACCTCACGTTTGTGTGAGTTTCCTCCCGCAGTCCAAAACATAGTGTGTTTGTGTCTGTGTCTGCATATTTGCTTGCTGGATTAGACTCCAGCTTCCCTGTGACCCTGAAATGGAAGAAGCAGTTAGAAGATGGATGAATCATCAACAACATAAACACTGAAGGCTGTATCTTTGGGAAGCTGAAGCTGAAATTGGGAGCCTTTGGGCATACCCTTAGTCTTGTCAGAATTTAAGGTCAGGATAAAAGTTCTGTTTCATTCATGTTTTAACATCATTTGTCACACATTTGTCACAGATTTAATTTCTTGCTGCTCTGTAGGAGATCAAGATCAGACCAGAGATAAGATCAGATTTATATGTTAGTGTTAAGCAGAGAAATATGCAAAGACATTATTAAGTCTGTGATGACAAAAGTTGGTGATCTCCCTGCAATCATCTCTAAATGACTTTTAATTTCTCCCAAGGACATTTTTAAAACTTGATAGATAGATAAGACTTATTCAATTTCCCTTCGGGATCAATAAAGTCATCTATCTAAGTCTGTGATGACAAAAGTTGATCTCCCTGCAATCATCTCTTAATGACTTTTAATCTCTCCCAAGGACAGTTTTAAAACTTGAGTTAGTTTTGTCATTTTAAGTGACAACAAGCCAGTGGCACCTGGTACATCACAGGCATATGCAGAGCTACATTGCTTTACTGCATTATGTGGTAAACAACAGTGGACTCTTTGTGAAAGAGTGAATTGAGTTCTTTTAAATACAGGATGCAAAGGTTTTCATTGGCAAAGGTTTTCATTAACATGTATTTCTGACCACACAGATCAGGAGTCCGAAGGACAAATGCTTTTTCTTGTTCAATGTTTCAGACATTGACTGAAAAACACATTTGGATCCAATTAACCTTTTGCATCAAGTGTTGTTGGGACAGCAGAGACCATCTGCAAGATCAGAGGTATCCTGTGTAGATGTGCATGAATTTCTCTCCTTAATCATAAAAAAAGGAGACTGTGATCTCTGAAGTATTACTAAGCTCATTGCAATGAGCCCTAGTAATTAGCAGCTGGGAACAACTGCTCATTGTTAGAAACATGCTTTATGCTAAAAAAGCAATCCTTACAAACTTCTGACCTTATTATAATAAGGAAAAATAGAAGACATTTTGGTAGGAGTAGGGAACAAGATTTGTGCATAAAATAAACAATGTCGTAGAGAAACAGAAATTAAAAAGAGCTACTGTATCAGTGTCCATGTTCCTGTAAATGACTGTAAATGAAAGTGTTTCATATGCCAGAAAGAAAAAAAATGGTCTATGCATGAAGGAAAATCTAAAACCCATGTATTAAGAACAATTAAAGACATTTTTTCCACCCTCCATTTTAGCATTCTCATCACCATGGCTGTGGTGCATGCTGTTCAGAATGAGGTCATTTTCCTATGTCTGATTACAGGATGTCTTTAAAATATAAAGGCAGATGGCATCACATTTGAAACTTCCACATGAACCATATAGTGGCCTGTCTGCTTATTTCAGTTATATGTTAATAGCACAAATAGGGTCTTTATGTGAAACTATTCATATACTTAGATATTACCCATATACATTACTTTATAGTGAAAACCACATTACATTCTAAACATATATTTGAGCTTGCAGATTTGATCTGCAGCTATTATTTAATTTATCAAGAATTTGACATCAACAAAAGCAGTGTACCATTTCTACAAAAGCATGTTTTTAAAGTGTTTTACAAAATAAAACCAATGAATTGAAATATCCATAACAGGTTTTAGAGCAGTCACTAAATAACGGAAATAATGAGCATAAGAACATGAGAAAGGTGCCAACAAAAGGACAGTCAGCCCTTTGTTCAGTCATCTCTCTTGGTCATTTCATAAAAGAAGCCAGAGTATTACCTTCATCAACATGGCTGAGGAGCTTGTTCCACAATCCTTTGTGTAAAGAAATGTTTCTTGTTCTCAGTTTTAACTATATTTTCCCTTTGTTTCCATTTGTATCCTCCTCAGGGTTGTGTTTGACTCTGAAATTAGTTTTTGCTACCTCTGCACATATCTACATTAAATGCCATCTTTCCAGATGATTATCCAGTTTTAACTGAAGCCAGTCCAGACCCAGTTAAGACCCTATGCAGACGGTATAATCCGGAAGTAACTGGAGAAGGACAACAGGGAAAACACGATGAGGATCAGGACGGGATAACAGACAGGGGGGTGTAAAGATGGTGATCCGGTGATCTGCACAGGCGAACAAGACTGAAGACTTTTTCCCAGGATATCCGGGGAGCAGTCCAGGGTCCAGGTACCGAGAGAACCATCCAAGTTCAGATGAAGTTAAAATCCGGAACGGGATCCGGAACGGGAACAGGGAGTTAAAAACAGGATAACCAGGCGCTGTTCTGAAGCCTATGCCGTCGGGTCTCTCCTGGACCCGCTGGTAGGTGGGCTTCCTGGCATCCATCATCCAATGCTGAGCCAGGAATAGCGGGAGCACCAGGCTTAAATCATAACAGGCAAAACAGGGGGCAGGTGCACGTAATAAAGTAAAATACAAAAGGGTCGGAGCGCCCTTAAGAGGAGGAATGACGATCATGACACAAGACTCTGATTTTTATCCACATACAGTACCTGTTCTCAATCCAAACATCTGCAGTACCTACTACCTAATACATTTTTTATGGGAAATATTATGCAATTCATCCCTAAAATCTAAATACTATATGCGCTGTGTGTGTCTATTAGTGCTTTTTTTCAAAAACCATCCCGCTTAATTCAGTTGGCTTGTCAGTTACAATTGTAGTTTAACAGACCTATACCTGTGCTCAGTCAATGCTGACTATCTGCTAAGATCCACCTCGACGTTCACCCCTCTCTTTGCCAACACTTTAGATGTTGCTTGACTCTCTAACTGCT